TATACATGTCCTTAGGCTGTGCCTAAAGTTTGAGCTGATTCCGATCAAATTTGGATTTTTTATGAATTATTTTTAGAAGTGCCTTAATACATGTAACTTCACTCTAGAGTACAGTATACAGTCTATATAAGGCACCATCCCATTGTTAGGTGGGTATCTGAAAAAGAAAGAAAGGAATTGAAAGAGAAAGAAGAGAAGTATCATCAGCAGAAACACGATCGTAAATCAAAGAAGGTCACGATTGATTTTGCTGGTCGGAGGATAATAGAAGATGAACCAATCATTAATGGTAGATCAAGAAAAATCTGAATTTAATATTTTTGTTTATTTTTAGATGAAAAAATGGAGGAAGATGCAGATGCCATTACTTCAGGCTCTCCTTCAAAAAGACGTGAGGTTTATGAAGACTCTCACTCCTTCCTTTGTAACCCAATGGTACCTGTCAGCCCTCCTAAAGTAAATATTGAAGGGATTGGATGAGTCATTGTATGGATGGGAATCAATCAATAGTATTTATCTACATCATGTAATGCTATACAGCTGGTAAATTTTGATGATTGGAGCCTTTGGAGGATTTTAATTTGCAAATTTGTGGTCATCTGCCATTGAACATGTGGCTGCATAAATAGTTTAAAATGATGAGGTTTTTTGGCGTATCAAAATGCCAAATTTGCTAAAATTACCAGCTATACACAGTACTTGTTATTAAATTAAATTTATATCATTTTTATTTTGTAGTATTTGGGTGCCAAGAAGAGGAAAGGAGGAGGAGGAGGGAAGGAGAGAGACTCAGTTGTACCAATGCCTCGTCTGCAAGATCCAAACTTAATGGAAATGACTGACAAAGGTTACCTAGTGTATTCATTGTTATTATAAATAAATAACATTATTTATTTATTTATTTATTTATTATTATTATTATTATTTCTTTTCCCTTTGAAGGTGTATGTCTAAGTATGCATCAACCTTGGGCTTCTCTACTAGTCTGTGGAATTAAAAGGTTTTAAAACATTATTTAAAATATGAGTGGCCACTTCTTCATGTCCCTCACTTTCAGACATGAGGGTAGATCATGGTATACCTCTCATCGCGGTAAGCTATGGATCGCTTCAACAGCTAAAGAACCCGATCCAGCCGTCATCAAAGACCTTGAGAGTTTCTATAAAGACTATTATGAAGGTTAGAATAAGAAAGAAGGAATGGAGTTAATGCTGTATTCGTCATTATCATTAGATTCAGGAGAAATTACATTTCCAAGCTCATATCCATCTGGTTGTTTATTAGGGTGTGTTGAAGTCAGTGACTGTTTGAATAGAGATGAATACACTGATAAGGTTCATATAGATTCACACACAAATAATGGCACACATAATTTACCGTATAGTGGGTAATTTTGGAGAGGATTAAATTTGGCGAATTGTCCGTTTTGATAGCCATTCGCCAAAATAAAACCCCACCATTTTGAGCTATTATATGCATGCTCAACGGCACGTGGTCACAAATTCGCCAAAATTAAAATCCACCAATTACCAAAATTTAGCAATTTGCCAAAATTTATTCCCTCCAAATTTACCCACTATACGGTATACTATGCTGTTTCTCTGTATTTAGTATTGATTTAATTTTCTCTTTTTTTCTCTATTAATTATTGTATTTATACAATTAATTTGTCTAATACTTTATCTTATCTTATTATTTATTATTATTTATTATTATTATTATTAAATTAGTATCCAAACGGTGAGAGTGAGTCTCAGTTTGTGTTTATATGTCACTCGCCTCAAGAGCTGTTGATCAAACAACCAATCAAAGGGAAGCATAAATTATGTGAGTATATACTGGTAGTATATCATGTGATTGTCATGTGATTGTCTTTGTGTAGGGAGACTACCAAGAGATGTACATAATGCAGCTAAAAGAACACTTAACTACAGTTCATAATAACAAAGGCGTGTTTTTTGTACATCAATTCTGTTCATTTATCTGCATGGATCAATTTTCTATTATATCTAGCTAATTATAGCTCAAATTCATGGATGAGTAATATGGAGGATACATTAGCATTTTCCTGCATACTCCATTTGCTGTCAATAACAGCTATGCACTCCAATCATAATTTTGGTTCTCCATGTGTCCTTCTTCTATTTTACTTCATATTACATCATTCAAGGCGCATCAGGGAAATAATTGTGCTGCAAAAAAACTTGGAAGTTTGCAACTGTGCTGCAAGTTCTTTTTGTCCCGGACAGACCATGTACCACAACCAGTCAACCACACCTATTGGCTTGACCATTATTAATTGGCTGCGACTCGACATAAAATGGCTCTAGAAATGGCTGGTTGTTCCAAGCGTCTCAAACTCGATCCTGATTTTCTTCATGAGGAATCTGAACAGAGAGTAGGACACATTCTCTGTCGAACCATTAATCCGCTCTCATCATTGGTTGATGTCCCTGTACAAGTTGACGAAATTTCACTTGCTTCTCTACCAAAGGAGCTCATTCAAGAGATATGTATGTTCCTGTCAGTTAGAGATAAGATGTCCCTTAGACTAGTCAATAGACAGCTTTATGCGACGATTTCTTATAATCCTCATTTGTGGACTAACGTTGCCATTGATGACGCGTATCGTAAAATTAATTCTTCATTCGTGAAATCAGTTTTGAAAACATGCCAGCCACATGTACAGTCACTAAGTTTAAAGGGATACTTGTCATTCCGTCAGTACCAATCAATAATGCTCAACTGTAATAACATTCATACGTTGAATCTTTATGGGTTTGAGATAAATTTTGATGCATTGCAAAAGATTTTTTCCGCTACCCCTTCACCTCTCCCTCACTTGCAGTACTTGGCTCTCCCAATATACAGCAAAAAGTGTTACGAACTTGTCGGGATGCAATTTTCATATTTTTCACAATTAAAAAAGCTGGTCGTCATGATTCCGAGTTCACGTAGCAGCGAGTCACTCTTTGAAAGTTGGCTGGAGAATAAGTTCTTACCACCAATATTTGTTATTGTCAGTGAACGTTGTATATTTAGACGGAACATAGATTGGTCAAAAAGTACGGCTCCTATAACTGAATCAGCTCAATCATTTGCAAAGTACTTTAGATATCGTCGACCTTTAGGATTTGATTTCTATGATATACCACAATATGCAGTGCAACTTGGTGGTCCCAATAAGACCAAAACTGCTAATGGTGAGCTAGTTGTTATGTTGCGAGATATTGTAACACCAACTGCACAGCCAAATGATGATTTAAGTCGAAAATATGCTGTTTTTGATGGGAATAATATTGATCCTTCTCTACCAGTTTACAGCAGTCAGCTTGGAAACAATGTTTACATGCTTAATTTTGCTGCTGTATTCGTATCACTCGAGTCCTTCAGTTCAATCGTTAAAGAAACACCAAATGTTTTAGAAGTTAGTTTTCAGGGAAGTACAATATCGGATGATGTGGATGCCTACATGGTTCCTTTATCTGAACACTGTCTTAAACTGAGGGGGCTAAATTTATCTGATATCAGAACTTCTGAAGGTACATGTAATTTAAGGATCGACAAGGAGCATTTTTGGCTTCTTTTGTCAAAAATTAAATGTTTGGAATTCTTGTCTCTTGATTGCAATTTAATCTTACCACCTACCATTGACTTGCCATCATTATTACAACAAGGGGGTGAAGAATTCAATTTTTCCAGTAATAATATGATTGATTATATTAAGAGTATGTCTGGACTCAAAGCCCTTCATATATTTGGATGTCACTGTAGTATTTGCAGAGGAAAGACAAAGCATTTGCAGTTAATTCATCACTTTTTGTTATCAATTGTTTCAAATCTCAAATTTTTGAAATATCTGAGAGTCAATTTCCCACTGCTTGATTCTGGTCCAACCAAAGGACTAGAAGAAGTCCTTCAGCATTGCCAACAACTCTCAGTTCTCATTATTATTGGTGCAAAATTGACACTACCAGTCGATCCTTCGCTGTATAGTAGCCTCACTCATTTTTGGCTTGATTGCAAAGATACGCTCATCACTTCTGAATTTGTTACTGCCCTGGCAATCAATAGCAGAAAGCATTTGAAGCATTTTGTTGCTGATTTAGCTAACAGCTTTGATGACAGAAGCAGCATTAGTAAAAGTGACCTGATAGAATTGGTGGAGTCTTGTAGTTTCATTACTCTTCATTTCTTGAATTTTCCAAGGAAAAAGTATGAGGATGTTTATGGACAAGTTTCATCAGTGGCTAGGAAGAAATTTCAGTACTGTAGTTTTGGTGAAATGTCTTCAGCAACAAAGATACATAGTGAAAATCCAGACTTTACAATTTTGCACTTATGGAGGTCAAGGTTTGCGGAATGAGAATTCAAATGAAGGAAAATCTGTAAAGGGATTATGATATTATGGACACATTAAAATATTATTTATACTATTGCTTTGAAAAATTTAATGGGGTAAAATAACGCCTAATAATTTATACTATACTGTGTGTTTCTCTGTAAATTGTCTGTATTTTAATTTTCTGTTTTTCTCTAATAATTATTGTACTTCTCTAACTAAACATGCCTAATGCTGTATCTTATATTATTATTAAATTAGTATCCAAACGGTGAGAGTGAGTCTCAGTTTGTGTTTATATGTCACTCGCCTCGAGCTGTTGATCAAACAACCGATCAAAGGGAAGCATAAATTATGTGAGTATATACTGGTAGTATATCATGTGATTGTCATGTGATTGTCTTTGTGTAGGGAGACTACCAAGAGATGTACACAATGCAGCTAAAAGAACACTTAATTACAGTTCATAATTGTTTGTATTATCAATTTTAGATCTGTTCATTTATCATGATGCATGCTTTGCCTTAAAATGCTGGTTGATTTCCGGACTTTTACTGACACCATCACACATGGTGGCACGTGGCTAAAAGGAAAGCTATGGCTGATACTGGTAGATCTCGCTCCTCCAAACGTCTCAAACTTGATCCTGATTTCGTTCACGAGCTATATGATGATCATTGTGAAGAAGCAGAACGCTATCTCTCTCCACCAATTCCCACAAATGAGCTCTCACCAGTCGATAGTGGTCCAGTAAAGGAGGTCAATCTTGCTTCTCTACCAGTTGAGCTGGTACAAGAGATATTCAGATTGCTGTCAATCAGAGATAAGATGTCCCTTAGACTAGTCAATAGACAGCTTTACACAGTGTGTTCTGATCCTTATTTGTGGAGAAGAGTTTTCATTGATGATGCATATGGTAAAGCGAACGGTCCATTCGTTAAATCGACTTTAAAAACATGTCAACCACATGTACAATCGCTTAGTTTAGAAGGAAGGCTACCATTTAGTCAATACCAATCAATAGTTTTCAACTGTAAAAACATTCGTAAGTTGAATTTTTACGGGTTTGAGATTAATATGGGTGCATTAAAGAAGATTCTAGTTTTCCCTACCATGACACAGGCCCCTCTCCCTCACTTACAGTATTTGACACTCTCAATATACAGCAGACAGAGTTATGAACTTGTTGAGATGCAATTTTTGTGTTTATCACATTTAAAGAAGCTGGTCATCATTACGAATTATGATACAGCAAGTTGGCAGCAATTCAATCAGAATTGGGAGCGGAATCATTGCTTACCTCGTATATTTGTTCTTGTGAGTGATTTCATTTGTTCCGAAGATTACTCAGTTCCTAATATGTCCCAGTCCGCTTATTTTGTTTATCATACTAGATATCGTCGACCTTTGAACTTTGATTTTTACGATGTACCACAATTTAGAAGGAAATGTGGTCCTGATACTGTTGCTGTGACTGCTAATGGTGAGCTAATGGTTAAAGTGAGAGATTTTGTTACACCAACTACACAACCTAATGATGATGACTTATGCCGTAAGTATGCTATTTTTGAAGGGAAAGATGTTGCTCCTGGTCTGCCAGTTTACAGCAGTCAGCTTGGAAATAGTATTACTGTTCTTCATTTTGCTTTTGTATCCGTATCACTTAAGACCTTCAGTTCCATCGTCAGAGAAACACCAAACGTTCTAGAAGTTAGTTTACAGGGAAGTACCTTATTGGATGGTGTGGATACCTACATGGCTCCATTATCACAGCACTGTCTCAAACTGAGGGGGCTAAATGTATCAAATTTTAATCCTCATAATACATGTGGACAACATGGCATAAGGACTAACAAAGAGCATTTTTGGTGTCTTTTATCAAAAATGAAATATTTAGAACTTTTGTCCATCAGCTACTTTTTGTTACCACCTAATGTTTACTCGCCATCTCGAAGAAATAAGGCTTTGCTTTTGTCAGATTCGGATATTAATATGATCGATTATATTAAGAGTATGTCCAGACTCAAAGGTCTTCATGTATACCCAGACTATGGCTTTTGTGATAAATGCTATGGGTTGAACCCCATTTCAGAATCAAAGAGAAACACAAACCATGATCGTTTGATTCATCACTTTTTGTTTACTACAATTTCAAATCTCAGATATTTGACATATTTGAGAGTTGAATTCCCATGGAATCATTCTGGTTTGACCAATGGACTAGAAGAAGTCCTTCAGCATTGCCAACAACTCTCAGTTCTCATTATTATTGAAGCAGTGAAATTGATACTACCAGTCGATCCTTCACTGTATAATACCCTCACTCATTTTTGGCTTAATTGCAGAGATACTTTAATCACTTCTGAATTCATTGCTGCCCTGGCTATCAATAGCAGAAAGCATTTGAAGCATTTCATTGCTGATCTACAGCCAACCAGCATCAGTAAAGATGTCCTGATAGAATTGATTGAGTCCTGTAGTTTTGTTACTTTTCACTTATATTTTGTAAAGGAATGGTATGGAGATCTGTACAAGCATTTGTCATCTGTGGCTAGAAAGAGATTCCAGTACTTTAGTTTTGGTGACTTGTCTTCAATTCAAAGAGACAATGCTGATTTTGAATGCTTGCATTTATCAAGGTATTGATCCCTACCATTTCAAACTTATCTATTATTATGGACAATAAAATAATTATCACTTATTATTAAAATACATAATTATAATTGAAATAGTATAGACTTATTAATTTGGACATTGAGTAACGCCCACGCTAATAAAGGTGTGGCTTGTATGTAGGTGTACGTGGTTCGTTTGCATGAAGAATGATTTCTTGCAGTTTCATTGCTGTTTTCTTTGGCAAGGGTCAGGCCACGCCTGACTATCTTTGCTTTGCAAGCTTCCTTTACAAAATCAGACCAGATTGAGAGGTCACTAGATGGAAAGAACTGGCAGTTATCAGATTCTGCTGGAAAAATCTTCCAGCCACAGTCCCTGGAATAGCCTACTGTGAGTTTGACCTTTTGTTGCAATAATTGTAGAATACTTTTATAGAGCACAGAAAGTCATTTATGATTTTTATTGTAAGTGAAAGGGTCAATTCCTTCTTTTATAATTACAATATCTTGCATGCAGTTGGTGAGAAACTGAGAGCGATGCAAATTATCAATGGATAGTGTATGAGACAACATTTGATTTGACTAGTGATGATGTGAAAAATCATGAGTTATCCAAACGGTGAGAGTGAGTCTCAGTTTGTGTTTATATGTCACTCGCCTCAAGAGCTGTTGATTAAACAACCGATCAAAGTATATCATGTGATTGTCTTTATGTAGGGAGACTACCAAGAGATGTACACAATGCTGCTAAAAGAACACTTAATTACAGTTCATAATAATTTGTATTATCAATTTTAGATCTAAAAATGCTTGTTGAATGTTGATTTCCGGACTTTTACCATAGTATTTATGCTTTTACACACATGGTGCCACGTGGCTAAAAGAAAATGGCTGATAGTGACTGTTCCTCCAAACGTCTCAAACTCGATCCTGATTTCGTTCACGAGCGATCTGATGATGATTTTGAAGAGGCAAAACGCCATCTCTCTCAACCAATTCCCACAAATGAACTCTCACCAGACGATAGTGATCCAATAAAGGAGGTCAATCTTGCTTCTCTACCAATGGAGCTCATTCAAGAGATATGTATGTTCCTATCAATCAGAGATAAGATGTCCCTTAGACTAGTCAATAGACAACTTTACACAGTGTGTTCTGATCCTAATTTGTGGAGAAAAGTGGCCATTGATGATGCATATGGTAAAGCGAACGGTCCATTTGTTAAATCGACTTTAAAAACATGTCGACCTCATGTACAATCGCTTAGTTTAGAAGGAAAGCTACCGTTCAGCCAATACCAATCAATAGTTTTCAACTCTAAAAATATTGATACATTGAATTTTTACGGGTTTGAGATTAATTTGGGCACATTAAAGAAGATTCTAGTTTCTCCTACCTTGGCACAGGCCCCTCTTCCTCACTTGCAGTACTTGACACTTTCGATATATAGCACACAGTGTTATGAACTAGTTGAGACGCAATTTTCGTGTTTATCACATTTAAAGAAGCTGGTCATCATTACGAATAAGGACACAGCAAGTTGGGAGCAATTCAATGACAATTGGGGGCGGAGTCGTTGCCTACCTCGTATATTTGTCCTCGTGAGTGATGTAACTTGGTCTAGAGATTACTCAGTTTATGATCCTAATATGTCCCAGTCGACTTACTT